CACACACACACACACACACACTCACACACACACACACAGGCAGCACATGTGCACACACATATATACGCTCACACTCTTCTCTCACACATCCATATACAAATTATATACCAAAATGACTTGTGTCAATGTGGGTGACAAAAAACTAATACTTTTAATTCTATAAAAACGTTGTGCAATTAGGTAAACACGATACGGCAAATACCCGACGTTGTCGCAGACATAAAAGTGTGGCTATCGTCTGCATATTGTCACTGATATTGCCTTCTCTGACGTCATTGCAAAACTGCATTCTGATTGGCTCTCTCGTCCGCTGTTCCACACATTATTCGCTGCCCCAGAATTATTACAAAGCTCTATCTGGCCAGTGCCTAGTTTTCAGAGATTTGATTTGAAAAATGTTGAGTTTTAAAATCATGTAAAGATTTTTTTCTTTATTCTTCTTTGAATATCTTGAAAACGACTCCGAATAATCTGACGATTTTTACAGAACGGATAGAACATTATTTTAATCTCTGACCTAACATGCTTAGTAAGTTATTTTGGCCAAAAATGACAGATAGAAATGTGTAATTGAATTAATATTGAGGGAGTGACTTATCACGCGCCTCCCGACGAGCCGATCCCGTCAATCTAACTAGCAAACAGAACTGAACCGAATCGAACCGATCGTGCAAATGGGCACTAGGTCTAACACGATCGAATTTGTTCGAATATCTGTGCTACCATTGTTGTTTTTCCCCTCTCTGGAGAGGAAAACTTGCAGACCTTTACTCAGTTCGTACGACTTAGACCGAAATCTAAAATTGTCTCCTTTCACCTCCTTTCCTGCTCTCTAGCAATGTTCTCTTGTCTGCTTTCATTTCCACTTTCTGCCCTAAAATCGATAAGAGTAGGCTTCGGCCGCCACCCGGGCAAAATTCAAAATTTTCTACCAACCGAAAATATTAGGTGTGTCCCGCGCGCTCATATGACCTTATGCAGTTGCGAGCGCCGTAAAACACTCTATAAAACCCCCCAAAAAAACCCGAAATCGACTCAATTTAACGGAGTTTGAATTAATTTGACGAAATTTGACAAATTTGATTGGCAGTGTGCACCTACTATTAGAAATAACAGAAAGATGGGAGGGCTATTTATAGACCAGCACGTGTTTTGCCTCTTCTCACGTGCGTTGTCTTGGCATTGTTTTAATCGGATTTGTTTCATTGCTGCTCTTTGAGGTTGGTTTTTTTCTTCTTTTTTTAGTTGTTTTTTTTTTTTTTTAGAATTATGTTGGTGGACGGGTGGCCTTTTATAAGAAATTATTTTTATAGTATTTGAAACTATTTTGCAGACAGACATTGGCGCTGGAGTGGTGGTTGGGGAAGGGGAAAGGAGGGGCGAGAGGGAGGAGT